TTTAAAGAAAAGTGTTTTATCCATATTTATATCGAAAGTTAAATAAAGAATGTAATATTGGACCTGGGAAGGTGGCTCCGTGGTAGAATGCTTGCCTTGAATGCATAAGGCCCTGGGTTCAATTCCTCAGCACCACATAAACAGAAAAAGCTGGAAGTGGTGCTGTGGCTTAAGTGGTAGAGCATTAGCATTGAGCTGAAGAGCTGAGGGAAGGGCCTAGGCCCAGAGTTCAGGCCCCCTTACCCCCCCCCCCCCCCACACACACACATACACATGCACGCATGCACAAAGAGTGTGTATTATCTTGCTGTGTACTTGTGCAGACATGTAGCAAGGAAAAATACTTTTATTAAATTATGTTAATCTGAAACATTTTAGATGACTTCATTGTTACATGCATAAATATATACAAATTGTTTTTAAATGATTTAATGATTTTATCCCCTTTCATTAATTTAATTTTTTTATTTTAAGATGCATGTATTTGTAAGAAATGAGAACTTATTTGATATAATCTTTATTCAGTTTTCCTCAGTGGTAGCATCTTGTAAAAATGTAGATCAATATTATAATCAGGGTATTGATATAGTCAGGATTTAGAATAGTTCTACTGTAAGGATTTTTCATGTTGTAATTTTATATCTAAACTTACATTGTTGTGCTTAACCACATTCCCTTTTGCTTCATTAAACCCTAGCAACCACGGATTTTTTTCCATTTTAGAATATTTTTATTTCAAAAATGTTGCGTATATGGAGTTATATGATATATAACCTTTTCAGGTTGTTCATTTTTTTATATACAATATATTTAACTGTAGTAATTTTTTGCCCTAAAATATACTTTATCTGATAATAGTTTAGTCATAACTACTTAATATTAACCTGATAAACATTTTTCCTAACTTTTAAAAACTTCAAACTGACTAGGCCTTTATATTTGAACTCCTTCCCTTCTTCCTTGTTTGAAGTTCAGAGTCTTGCACTTGTTAGGGTACCACTTAAACCATATTTTCAGCTCTGTTTCTTTGCTGGCTATTTTTCAGATAGGGTCTTGAAAATTTCTGTGGCCAGGCTGCTTTCAAACTTCAGTCCTTTTGCTCTCAGCCTCTGGAGTAAGTATCTGAAGTAAGTAGGATTTCAGGCATGAGCCAATGGTGCTGGCTTGAACTGAGTGCCTTATTAGCAGCATATAGTTGGGTCCATATGTCTTAATCTATGGTGCTATTTTTTTGTCTTTTCTGTTTTATTTTTTGGCCTGAGACCAGGATTCAAACTCTATACCTGACACTTTCACTCACTGGCTAGCACTCTACCAACTGAGCCGTAGAGCCAAACCCTTTTGTCTTAACTCATACATTTACATGTATTTTAATAATTGATTTTTTTTTGGGGGGGGTCCGGTTATGAGCCTGAACTCTGGGCCTGGGAACTGTCCCTCAGCTATTCAGCTCAAGGCTAGCACTCTACTACTTGAGCCACAGCACCACTTTCGGCTTTTTTTTTTTTGCTTATGTGGTGCTCAGGAATCGAACCCAGGTCCTCATGCATGCAAGGCAAGCACTCTACCACTAAGCCACCTTACCAGCCCTCTAATAATTGATTTTTAAGGTTTACGTTTGCCATTTTGTGATTTTTGCTTCTTCAGTTTGTGTTTCTGTTTTTCTCTTGTCTTTTTCTGTGGGCCACTGGAATAGTTTTTAGAATGCTATTAGAACAGTGTTTAGTTTTTCCCCCCTGTAATTTAAAAGCCTTTGTATAGTATTTTTGGCATTTGTGCTAGGTATTCTATTATATATCCATTATAAAACTACATTCTACAAGTTATACTTGATATGGTAATATTTTTATCTCCTCTTTGTCTTTTTAGTCTCTTCAGTTTGTAAATACAATTTTCAGAAATATGTCCTCTGCACATATCTAAAACTCTATTACGGTTACATTTGTTCAACCACCTAACTTAATTTAAATGCTTACAGCAAAAGGAACAAAAGGAACAACTGTTCATTCTGTCTGTATTTTTTCTTCCCATGTTTTTTTAAAAATCTGTGAAGAATTAATCTTTTATCATTTCCTTTTTGTTAAAAAACTTCTTTAGACCATTTCTTGGATAGATCTACTAGTGACAAATTCTATTATTTCCCCTGCTGCCATGATTTTTCCCTTCATGCTGAAGAAAATTTTTGTTGTACATAAGATTCTGTTGATAATTCCTCTTGTTCAGCAGTTTAAGATATTTCGTTACCTTCTGGCCCCAAGGGTTTTGATGAGAAATTGTTATTTAGATTGTTTTTATCCTGTGGATAAAATATTATTTCCCTTCTGTTGCTTTCAAGGTTTATTTCTTTGTATTATATTTTCGTAAGATTTGCTCCCATATGTTAGAGATTTTTTGGGATTATCCTTTGGAAACTTTTTCAGATTCTGTTGGACCTGTAATTTGGTATTTTTTGATAAATTCAGGAATCTGCAGCTACTAATTTTTAGTGTTCCCTTTCAACCATACCTTCTTTATCCTCTCCAGGATTCAGATTACAGGAATATTAAGTCTTTTTTGTATTTCAGAGATTCCTAATGATGTATTTTTTTTCTTCCTTTGTTTCGTCCCTAGTCTATTTTTCTTTTCGTTGTTCAGAATGAGCAGTTTCTGTCCTTTGGTGATGGTGATTATTTCTTTGGTTTCCAACATTTTGCATTTCATTCATCTAAATTTTTTATTTTGCTTCTTATATTTTTGGAATATTTTTATTATCTTTATTCAAAAGAGTTGCTATTCAATGAAGCAGTTCATGAATACGGTGCCTCTTGATCATTGTTACCCCTTTTATCATGCTCACACACCCTTTCCAACCTCGCACCCATTCCCTCACTTTTCTTGATTTTTAGGATGTGTATTGAATTTTTTTGCCATTTAACAAATCAGTTTATGTATACAGTGCATCCTGATCTGTGTCATCATTTCAACATTTTTAACCCCATTCAACCCACCCCTTTTATTTTTTTTTTACTTTTGTGGTATATACAATGAATTTTTGACTGCATTTTCCTCCCTCCACCCTTCATTTATCTAGCTCTCCTCGGCTTCACTCCCCCTTTTGCAAGTACCCATTTCTTCGTCCTTATTTTATTATAACATTTCTGTTTTTTCCCTTCCTAATATTGAGGCTTGAATTCTGAGCCTGAAGTCCTGCTTAGCTTTTTCTCTCAAGGCTGGCAGGACACCACTTGAATCACTCCTCCACTTCTGGCATTTTGCTGGTTAATTGAAGACTAGTCTCTTGGATTTATGTGCTTGGACTGGCTTCAAACCACGATCCACAAATACCTGAGTAGCTAGGACTATACGCATGAGCTACTGCAGCCTGACTTCTCTTCAGGTCTTATGCACAGTTTCTATTTCTTTACACTTTCCAATTTTTTACTTATTGTTTCTTTTTTTTTTTTTTTGGTCCGGTCATGGGGCCTGAACTCTGGGCCTAGGAGCTGTCCCTCAGCTCTTCAGCTCAAGGCTAGCGCTCTACCACTTGAGCCACAACGCCACTTCCAGCTTTTTTCTTATGTGGTGCTGAGGAATCAAACCCAGGGCCTCTGGCATGCAAGGCAAGTGCTCTACCACTGAGCCACCTTCCCAGCCCTTATTGTTTCTAATTATACATTTCTATGGTGTCTGTCTGCTCATGTGTATGTTCTCACATGTGTACACCCATACCCATACTTTCAGGCATCAACAACAACTGTAAATTTTTTTTTTTTTGGGGTCCGGTTGTGGGGACTGAACTCTGGGCCTGAGCGCTGTCCCTCAGCTCTTCAGCTCGAGGCTAGTGCTCTACCACTTGAGCCACAGCACCATTTCTGGCTTTTTTCTTTTTGCTTATGTGGTGCTGAGGAATTGAACCCAGGGCCCTATGCATGCAAGACGAGTACTCTACCACTGAGCCACCTTCCCAGCCTGACAATTGTAAATTTTATATTACTATTAATGATAACATTTTCTTTAAGTTGGCAACTTTCATTTTTAACTTCATTGAAAAATGCTTACGAATTCCCTTTGTCCTATCTGAATTGTCAACACCCCTACTGTTACCATTTGGGCTATTATTAAGTCAAAGAAAGGTTATTGAAGAGTGAACAATGTGATATTGCCACACTTTATCTGGTAACTGGGATGGTTACTAAGTGATTAACAGGTGAGTAGTAAATGTGTAAGACAAAGGGATAATTTATGTCCTCAGATGGATGAAGCTGCATAGCACAAGATTTTATTATGCTTCCAAGAATAGTACACAATTTAAATTTTATGAAATGGTTATTCCCGAAATTTTCTACTTAATTTTGGATTTCAGGGACTATTGATAATTGAATTTGGAAAACAAAACCAAACTTCAGATAAGAGCAAAGTGCTACTATGTAAATCCAATTCTTGGCAGCAAATTTCCTGTATAGTAGCAGTTGAAATGTACATAGATGCATGTGTGCTTTGGGGGGATTAAATGAGATAATAAAGATTTCAAACTTACAATAATTAAAAATGAACACCTATAGATTCCATAAATCTCAAACAGAGTTGTTTTTCTTGACAGCTCAAAGGTTTGCTCAGTCATTAGCTATTACCTGTCTAAGATTTATTATATTTTTTCTATTACTATTCAATATTCTTCTTTTCTGATTCTTAGATCGAGTTGCAGTAATTGACAGTTTTTGGAAATATTTTTCCAATTTCAGTTATTCTCATAAGTTTTACTGAAATCTATCTCTTTGTTCCTTTTGAGCAACTATGGGTATTTCTGTAGAGATTTAATCATCAAAGATTGTTGTATAACTTAATAGAAGCATAAGCCATAGCATCGAGTGACAGTTACTGTCTTACAATATCTAAGAAAAGTCAAGGCTTTATTCCATAGAGGTTGTGTAATATTTTTAAAATTACTCAAACAATAGTAGCTGACTTATAATACTTATAATATTTGCACTAATATTAAGATTAAACTGTCTTCCTTGAAGGATGATGTTTTAGAAGACAATGAAAAGAATTTCTATGAATCTGATGATGAACAGGAAGAAAAGACTGACAAAAAGAAGAAGCCGTACACTATGGATCCAGACCACAGGCTGTTAATTAGAAATACGAAGCCTTTACTGCAGAGCAGGAATGCAGCAGTATGTGCAAATGTTCTATACATATAATTCATGAATAGAAGAAAGAAAATTATTAAAAGTATTGCATTCAGAAAACAGAACTGAGTGTATTACTGGAATGATTGTTTGTGTATACTCCAGACACATATATTGGGTAGTTTAAAATACATAGATTATAAAATACAGATTTAGGAAATAATTTCTCTGAATCAGTGTATTTCAACCTGCAGTGTTTTTAAGTATACAGATTTGATTTTGATGAGGTCATTTGATTTGGTAGTTGACAACCTAACGGACTTCATGTACTTTTTTGAGGTTCTACGAATTGGCTTTTCTAAATTGTTTCTCAGTTGATTAGGTTTTTATTAAACCATGTGAAAAGACCATGTGTACTTCTGTTCCACCATCCTGAATGAGAGCATTAGATCGAGCACTCATAATGTTTTGTTTGGATATAACTGGTAGAATGCTTGAGATTATAGTATGACAAAAAATAATGTAGGATTTAACAGTGGTGAAGTGCTTCCCTGGCATGTGTAAAAAGGCTAGGTTTCAATCCCTAAAAATGCCCCACACCTAGTAAGTTTAGTAAAAAAAAAAAAAAGGCCAGGGCTCATTCCTAAAGATGCCCCACACCTAATAAATTGAATTGGCAGTAATAATAATAATTAAAAATTGTCTTTGTGCCTGGCACAATGCAAGTAATGCCAGCTACTTAGAGATCTAGATAAGTATGGTTTGATTCCAGCCCAGGCTGAAAATGTTTATGAGACCCCATCTCAAGCAATAAAAAGCTGGGAGTCATGGTGTGTACTTATCCTCCCAGCTGTGTGGGAAGCATAACTAGGAGGATTATAGTCCAGGCTGGCCTAGGTATATATGTAAGACCTTACTTGAAAAATAACTAAAGGATAAAGGACAAGGAATATGGCTAACGTGCTAGAGTGCTTGTTTGGCAAGTATAAGATCCTAAGTTTATACTCTCTTACCATCAGCAGAAGAAGAAAAAGTGATCTTTATATGATTATAACTCATCTTTTGTAGAAGAACACATTATGCTTAACAGAAAATTAGGAAATAAAAGTCTAGGAAAACTAAGACATAAGAAGTAAATTAAATATCACATTTTCATCACTTAGAAGTCAGTTTTATATCTTAGTGCATTTTTTTCTAGATCTTTGTTGCCTGCATATATTTAGTCACATGTGTGTACATATGTATTTATGTAGATATAGATTTAGATGTAGATGTATGTGTATCTCAAAAAATAACCAACACAAAAATGGCAGACTGTCTAAAGTAGTAGAGTGTCTGCCTGCCAAGTACAAGGACCTGCGTTCAAGCTACAGTACTGGCAAAAAATTAAAGTATAGTTTGCAATCTTGCCAGTGAGTTTGTACTTATTATTCCTAAGAAAGAAAGTATTCATTTAAGTTTTGGTTTTCTTTTATATACCAATATTACTAGATAGCTGTATGCTTTAATTTTTTATGACTATCACCTTGTAGATTAGGTCTATTATTGATGAGACTCCTAAGATTTTTTTTTCTTTTTGTGCTGGTACTGGAGCTTGAACTCAAGGGTCTGGTACTCTTGCCTGCCTTTTTTGCTCATGGCTGGTGCTCCATCATTGTGACATACCTCCAGTTCTGACTTTTTGTTAGCTAATTGGAGATAGGAGTCTTTTGGATTTGTCTGTCTACCCAGACTGGCTTTGAACTATGTGCCTCAGATCTCATCTCAGCCTCCTAATTAGTTACAATTATAGGCATGAGATGCCTAACATGAGACTTTGTAAGTTATTTTAATGCAGAAATTTATTTCAATTAAATTGTATTTGTTGATTATTATTGAATAAATGAGATCTTACAATCCTAAAATTACTAATGTTTGAAAGTTATAGAACAATCTTACGAAAAACTACTCAATTCCAAACAGTACATTTTGGATCCTGAAAACTATGTGTTTTTTGGGTTTTCTTTTTTGCCAGTGCTGGGGCTTGAACTCAGGACCTGGGTGTTGTCCCTGAACCTCTTTGTGCTCAAGGCTACCGCTTTACCACTTGAGCCACAGTGCTACTTCCAGCTTTTTCTGAGTAGTTTATTGGAGTCAAGAGTCTCATGGACTTTCCTGCCAGGGCTGGCTTTGAACCATGATTTTCAGATTTCAGCCTCCTGAGTAGCTAGGATTATAAGAGCCACCGGTGCCTGACTGTAAAAGTTAATTTATTTTTATTTTTATTTTTTTTTATTTTCAGAAAAAAACCTTTTTGTTCTCAAGCACTTTCATGTGCTCTGTACTCTAGATACACGTAAAATTTCTGCCATGTTTTTGTTAGGACCTCATAGACCAAACAGTAAATATGAAAAATTTTATCTTCTAAGCCAAATCAAGATTGTATAATTTCTATAGCTATGTCTCTGTAGCTGTCATGTTGTTAAGTTGGATACACTGGGTAATGAGGAGTCTTTGTGTTTTGCTTTCTTAATCCAAAGTGTAGACCTATGTAAGAGAAAACAACAGTACTTTCTGGCATATAAGGGAAACAGTGCTTTTGTATTTTGAGACAAAATCCAGTCACTTTTATAATAGTTCTAACCTTTTTGAAAACTAGTTTTAATAAGGTCATGTGTTTTGAAAAAAATAATAGCATTACAAATGCTACTGCTTTGGTGCCTTGTTTTTTGTTTTTGTTTTCCTTTGTTTTCCAGAGCTGAGGACTAAACTCGGGGCCTTGTATTTGCTAGGCAAGTGTTCTTCCACCGAGCTAAATTCCCAACCCTGGTGCCCTGTTTTTATTAATTATAACTTAAAACTGATCTTTAAAATTTTTTATCTTTGGGGCTGGGAAGGTGGCTCAGTGGTAGAGCGCTTGCCTTGCATGCATGAGGACCTGGGTTCGATTCCTCAGCACCACATAAGCAAAAAGAAAAAAGCCAGAAGTGGCGCTGTGGCTCAAGTGGTAGAGTGCTAGCCTTGCGCTGAAGAGCTGAGGGACAGTGCCCAGGCCCAGAATTCAGGTCCCACAACTGGACCCCCCCCCAAAAAAAAAAAATAAAAATACTTTTTATTGTTAATCCTGATGCATCTGACTTCATTTAGAATGCCTTAATTCTGAAAAAAAAAAAAAAATCCATACTCAGAGTAGCAGCAGTGCTAGGAGAATCATAGAATCCTGAATCTTGTGTATATTACCCTATGCTTCTGGCACACCTTGAACAGTTCATTTAATGTATAATTTTTAGGACTAGTTTCTTAGCACTGGTATACAAAATTGCCACAAACTTACTGGATTAAAACTACAGAAATTTATTCTCTTAAATTTCAGAAAGTGGAAGTTTAAAATCAAGGTGTTAGGAGAGTTACTTTCTATGGAAGCCTTATGGGAGAAACTGCTTCTCTATCCTATAGATGGTTCCTGGTAATCCTTGACATTTCCAACAAATGAAGCTTGCTAGATGCATCACTTCTGTGATGCCTTCACCTTCACATTTCCTTTTTCTCTGTTACTATAGCATATCCTCTCCGACACCAGACAAGAATTTAAGGGTAGGGGAAACCTCTTCATTACAGAATTACATAGTTTATTTTGCTTCACAGGCATTTGTTCACATTTCAAGGAAGTAATGTGTGGGAATGTATTTTGAAACTGTAGAGTGCTTGAACATTCATTGCTCCTATTATTTTCATGCTTCACATTCAGGTGGTGATGGCAGTTGCTCAGCTGTACTGGCACATATCACCAAAGTCAGAAGCTGGCATTATTTCTAAATCCCTAGTGCGCTTACTTCGTAGCAATAGGTAGGTCATGGTTTTATATATATTTTTCTTTTTTATTTCAGAAATATTTGAACAAATATAATATGTCTTGTATGTAATACCTACCTCTGACTATATATATATTATATATATTGGTCAGTTATGGGGCTTGAACTCTGGGTTTTGGGCACTGTCCCTGTGCTCTTCAGCTCAAGGTGAGTACTCTGCTGCTTGAGCCACAGCGCCATTTCCGGTTTTCTAGTGGTTTATTGAAGATAAGAGTCCACGGACTTTCCTGCCTGGGCTGGCTTTGAACCGCGATCCTTGGATCTCAGCTAGGATCTCCTTAGATCTCAGCTAGGATTACAGGTGTGAGCCACTGGTGCCCTACCCTCTGACTATATTTTATCAGTACTTAATATGATGATCATAAGATCCTTTATAAAATTGATCTCAATCTTAATGACAGATATTCAAAGACTTTAATCTCAAATGCAAGGAGATTAAATTATTTTATAGAATGGTGTTTAAGTCATCACCATGTGCCTAGATTTTTATAGTTTAGAAACTACGTTATATAGTTCATAGTTGAATTATTATTTCTTTTTTTTTTTTTTTTTTTTTTTGTTTTTTTTGTTTTTTGAGTCCGGTCGTGGGGCCTGAACTCTGGGCCTGGGCATTGTCCCTCAGCTCTTCAGCTCAAGGCTAGCACTCTACCACTTGAGCCACAGCCCCACTTCCAGCTTTTTTCTTTTTGCTTATGTGGTGCTGAGGAATCGAACCCAGGGCCTCATGCATGCAAGACGAATACTCTACCACTGAGCCACCTTCCCAGCCCAAATTATTATTTCTTATGAAGTTGGAATATTTAATTTTTATAGTGGGGACTATTTTTAAAACAGAGCTGTATTTTATTACTCATTTAAAATAACTAAAGAATGTAAAATTCTTTAGTTCCTGTAGTTGATAGGTAGATGAATGAATGGATGGATGGATGGATGGATGGATGGATGGATGGATGGATGGATGGATGGATGATGAATAGATTGGCAGATACAGCTTGTCTTCTCTTTTTAAATTTTAGCACCTTAGAATCTAGACTGTCAGGCCAACAATTTAAAACATTTATTTAAAGTTCCCATATTATATAATTTTTGTCTTTTGGTGTACTGTTTGTATTCAGGGCCTCAGGCCTGCTAGGCAGGCACTATACCACTTTGAGCCATAGTTCCAGCCCTAATTTCAAACCTAAGAGAAGATTTTTTTTTTTGGTTCTTCCTGTGTTTAAGAATAGCATAACTACTTAATACAACTACTTGATAATAATAAGGAAGAAAAAGGAATACCTTTGAGCCAGGTGCTGATGGCTCATGCTTGTAATCATAGATACTCATGAGGCTAAGATCTAAAGATTACAGTTCAAAGACAAGGCTGTAAAGTCTGTGAGACTCTTAACTCCAATTAATGAGCAAAAGGCCAGAAGTGGAGCTGTGGTTAAAGCTGTGGTTAGCTTTGAGTGAAAAATGCTCTGAGACAGAGTCCAGGCTCTATGTTCAAGTTCTAGTATTAGATGTGTGCATGCGCATGCTCTTTCTCTCTCACTCTCTCTCTCTCTCTTACACACACACACACACACACACACACACACACACACACACACACACACACACACACACAGAATACCTTTGTTTCAACTATTTTTTTTTTTTTTTCTTTGTTTCAACTATTTAGCTGGCCCTGAGTATTTTACAATATTTAGTTCGTTTGAATTAATTTTTTGAGTGTATATCTTTACAAACCTGACTATCAGAAAGGTATGTTTTTGTCTTTAACTAGAACTTCATCCTCAACTTTACCTTTTGACTGGATTTGCCATCCTTTCTAAACAAGTTAGTTCAGTACACTTAGAACACTTCTTATGTGTTCCCATTCTCCCGCTTTATACCTAGCCATTCCTTTTTGTAAACCAGTTTAATAATTTTTTAAATAGCTAGTTCAAAGAATATTGTAAAGATGTAAATGTGTTTTTTACATGAGGTCTTATATCAGATTTAGTTCATTTCTAGATATTTAAATTTAAAAATAACATGACTGATTGTCAACCTAGCTTTGGCTTTGTGTTTTAGGAATATAGTACTATAAAATTGATTTTAACTCTTCCTAATGACAAAAAACAGTTGTGGGGCTTGAGCTCAGAACCTTGGGGCTGTCCGTAAGCTTTTGTCCTCAAGACTAGTGCTCTACCACTTTTTGAGCCACAACACCACTTCCAGTTTTCAGGTGGTCATTTTGAGGTAAGAGTCTCATAGATTGGACTAGCTTCAAAGCACTATCCTCTGATCTCAGCCTCCTGAGTGGTTAGGATTACAGGCATGATCTACCAGTACCTGGCTAGAAAATCTACTTTTAAAAGAAGGCATAAATAACTAAGAGTCACTAAAATCTTTGAATACTATATAAGAGTTTTCTTCACTATGAAATTTATTGCTGCTTTCTTTTTCGTATTTGTGCTGCTTATTCAAAGATGCTTCATTGGAAAATATACCTAGTGAAAATTATCTTTTAATTCTAGGGAAGTGCAATATATTGTCCTACAAAATATAGCAACTATGTCAATTCAAAGAAAGGTATGTACATTATGAATATATAATTAAAGAAGTAAATGAACACGTTAGTATTATAAATGTATTTATGTATTTATTTTTATTATCCTAGGGTATGTTTGAGCCTTATCTGAAGAGTTTCTATGTTAGGTCAACTGATCCAACTATGATCAAAACACTAAAGGTATGTTATGCTTTCACTTTTCTGATACTTTTTAGTACTTGTAGAGATTGCTATAGCTTGTGCCATCTACACAGTTGGGCCTTACTTTCAGAAAATATGCATTTAAGAATATGCTTTCTTTTCTCTTTTTAGGATATGCTTTCTATGTGTTTATTACTATGTTACATTCAGTTGATACAAAATTAAGACATCTCCGTACATCGTGAATAACTTACAGCTGTACTGAAGAAAAAAATTGTATAAATAGATGAATCTTAATCCTGTATGCTTAAATGATAATAGAGATTTTAGTGCAGTGATAAATAGAAAGGGTTAGCTGTCTGGGGAATTTGGGAAAATGGTATTTCAGTTGATCTTATAATATCTTTTTGTGATTTTTTTTTTTGTTTGCTTGCTTGTGACTAGTAGGTGGATTGGCAGTTATGAAGGGTTAGAATGAGATAAAAGCAGGAGTTTTTGTTTTTTGTTTGCTTGTTTTTTCCCCAATGCAGGTAGAACAAAGTCATGTAATCCACAAGGGCCTTGTATGTATTATTTTCCTGCCTTCTGAATTCTCAGATTACTGGCTGGTGCTACCACCTTGAAAGTAGTTTTGTTAGCACAATATATTATGAAAGAGTATTATTAGAAAATAAGTGTTATAGAGTACAGTTAGGATTGTAAAGCTAACGTGATTAAAACAGCGTGATATTTAGACAGAAAAACAAGTAAAATAGAATGAAAGCCTAGAAACTCACTTATGAATATGAACATACACTATACAGTGTACTATATGAGACATAAATTGATGAGAAAAAATAGTATTTACTAAATACTGAAAATGTTATTCACATGGAAACTGGGTTTAAAAGAAAATCTAAGACACAGATTGGAGGATATTTTTACTGAAAAAGATCTGGTTTGTAATCATGAAAAGTTTCAAGTTCATGGAAATTAAAACATGGACTGAAGGGGCTGGGAAGGTGGCTCAGTGGTAGAGCGCTTGCCTCGCATGCATGAGGCCCTGGGTTCAATTCCCCAGCACCACATAAGCAGAAAAAGCTGGAAGTGGCGCTGTGGCTCAAGTGGTAGAGCGCTAGCCTTGAGCTGAAGAGCTGAGGGACAGCGTCCAGGCCCAGAGTTCAGGCCCCACGACCGGACTCAAAAAAAAAAAAAAAGCCATGGACTGAAGAACTGTTTCATAGGAAGGAAATGCTTAAATACTATGTATGATATTAAGTTAGATCCTTTTATTAGGCATTGTTGAGACAGGTACAGAAACCTAAATGTATAGTAACAATTGCATAGAAGTAATGTATTAGTATTAATTTCCTGATTTTCTTGGTTGTATTGTAGTCTGTAAAGACCTGTCCTTATAAGAAACACATGTAGAAGTATTTGGGGAATAATATATCACGAGATGGGCAATTCTAGTTCCCAAATTGGTTAGAGAAAAAGGAATTTGTTATACTATATATGTAATTTTTGTTATGTTTTAGATGTTTTACAGATATTGATCAAAAGGTTAAAAATAGTTTTATCAAAATGAAAATTCAAACCATAATCTCAGAGAAAATATTCCCAGCACATACATCTGAATAAATGACATATGTAAAACATATAGTAAAACAATAGTATGTAAAATAGTATGTAAAACATTCTGCAATCTGTGCCTGTTGTAATGTTTAGATCATTTACTTTTAATGTACTTCTTTATATGAATACACTTATGTCTACATAATTGTTTTTCTGTTAATGCTATTCTGTTCTATTTCCCCCCTTTTTGTGCCCACCTTTCGGTTAGTCAAACATTTTTATGTGTAAAAACAAATACTTTTAGCATGTTAGTTGGAGATTTATATCTGTAAATCCAGAGAGAGGATTAAAATGTCTGTTTGGGAAGGCAGGATATAGAAGAACAAATTTAGAGAGTTAATTGTTGTCTGAAAAACAATTGCCTCATATTACGTAGGAGGCAAATTGTTTTCCAACTTTATTAATAAAAATTAAAAGTCAAACTAATTTAAATGGTTTAGGTTAATTAGATATAAATTATAAAGATGGAACAATTAGTACGATGTGAGATTCTCTTTTCTTAATTATTTTCTAAGAACTGTGTAATTATCTAACCTCGATTTGTAGACAGAAGGAGACAGACTAAGTTCACCTGAAGGATTTATACTTCTTCACCACATTTGTGACAGAATGATTTAAAAAAATTACAAATTAACTTTTAACTAAATGCCCATCCTTTATTAAATTCATCTTTTTATTTTTGTTTTAAAATGTTTGTTTTCTCTTTTTTCAACTATAGCTTGAAATTTTGACAAACTTGGCAAATGAAGCCAACATATCTACTCTTCTTCGAGAATTCCAGGTTTGTATATGTTGGTAATTATAAGTTATAATATATATCAACTTTAAGTCAAATATACATCTTCCTCAATCTAGAAATAATAATTATGTAAATAAGTGATTTGGAATGAGTGGCAAGTAAAATTTTATAAAATTGCAATAATAAATAACTACAAATATAATTGAAGAGAGATGGTATTTTATTTCCTTTTATGTTTTATAGAATTTGGAAGTCTATTTTATATCTAATTGAAAATTTTGTTCTTAAGGACTTTTCATGTTGTCAGTCATCTTTTCTCTTGTCTTGAATATATGAAAATCCTTAGTATTTAATTAGTGAATTATTGTTTTTAACACTGTTCCTTTAACAAATGTAGATATTAAAAAGAGAGAAAAGAAAAAAGAAAGGAAATTATTTTGGGCTCATTGTTTCACCATGTTTTTTTTCTTTTTGGTGAATATTGAAATTTGAACTCAGGTTCTCTTGCTTGCTTAACTTCCTTGCTTGACTGCACTCTACCATACCTACAGCCTGGCCTTTTGCTTGTTATTTTGGCAATGAAGTTCCATAGACTTTTCTGCCTTGGCTGACTTCAACTGAGATCCTTCAAATTTTAGCCTTCTGAGTAGTTAGGATTATTTGTCTAGCTTCTTTAGTTGATTTTATTGTGTTTTCACACTATATGTGTTGATGAATGAGTTACTTTCTTGCTGAATTTCTCCAGAAAATATTACTCAAAAATCATTTCATAGATATTGTGCTCTTTATTATAAGAAGAGTCAACTCCGAAGCCTTAGTGGTAAAGCACAGCAATAGAAAGCATTTTAGCTGCATGAATTTCAAATTGCTTCAGTCATTTTCTTTTTAAATTTATTTTAATTTTTCAGTTTCTCTGAATGGTTGTGTAAAGAGCTTTTTTAGTTCCACATGTTATCAGCAGTTTTCTTTCTTTCTTTTTTTTTTTTTAAATTTTTTTTTATTTTTTTATTTCCGGTCGTGTGGCCTGAACTCTGGGCCTGGGTGCTGTCCCTGAGCTCTTCAGCTCAAGGCTAGCGCTCTACCACTTGAGCCATAGCGCCACTTCTGGCTTTTTTCTTTTTTCTTATGTGGTGCTAGGGAATCGAACCCAGGGCCTCAGGCATGCAAGGCAAGCACTCTACCACTGAGCAACCTTCCCAGCCCTATCAGCAGCTTTCTTAAAAAAAAAATATATATATATATGTACACACACACACACACACACACACACACACACACACACACACACACACACACACACACACACACACACACACACACACACACACACACACACACACACACACACACACACACACACACACACACACACACACTAATCCTGGAGGGTTTGTTTTTATTTTTTGGAGGGGGTGGTGGGGAGGGTGTTGCTGGTACTAGGACCTGAACTTAACGTGCTTGCTTGGCTTTTTTACTCACAGCTGGTGCTCTATCATTTAAGCCATGTCTCCAGTTCTGGCTTTTCAGTGGAGAAAAGAGTCTCTAGGATTTGTCTGCCTGTGATAGCTTAGAACCTCAATTCTTGATTTCATTCTCCAAACTCAGAGTTTCGTTTTTTTGGTGTTTTTTTTTTTTAACCAGCCCTCAACTTTTATAAATTTTCCATAGATTTGTTGAATTAATTTTTTTAGCTCTATGGACACTGTAGTTATCTTTAGCTCAGTGATCTTATATTTTTCAGCAGTAGTAGAATATTATATCATGTTCATTGTTGTTTGGTTATTTACTAGATTACTTAGCTTTCAAGCTATGTATATTTCTAGGAAACTTCCTGATAAAAAATTAGGATTCCTTAGAAGACCCATTCATATTTATATATTAGAATATATCATATCTCAGGTTCTTAGCCAATACTGATATATTTATACGTCATTATTTATTAATAGCATATTGGTACTTTTCTTCCTTTCCTCCACTTTTTAAATTTACTATCTGTACAAAAGTGACCCTTTTATTCATAGACTGGCAGTTGCTTCTGGTTAAATGAACTGAAACCTCCAAAGAGAGAGTCTTGTTTCTGTCTACCTTGCCCTTATCTTAAATACTGTCTTTGGGTGACTGCTCCTACTATCTGTTTTGGAGTTTCAAGCCACTATGGCCACAGGTGAATTGAACTGGCTTGAAAACATGTCTCTTCTGTAGAAAAGGCACTTTCTTTACATAAAAAGAGAAAAACTGTATTAACTCACCAGTTGATCCTCTTGTATTCATGAGAAGTCCTCCTGTGTTATGTATTTTGGAATTTTTATGTAGTGACATGGCTATTTAAAATAGGCTTTTGGAGTCACTGGATAGTACTAATATGTAAGCTAATAAAAATATTCTTTTAGACCTATGTGAAAAGCCAGGATAAGCAATTTGCAGCAGCCACTATTCAGACTATCGGCAGATGTGCAACCAACATCTCAGAAGTCTCAGACACCTGCCTCAATGGCCTGGTCTGTCTACTGTCCAACAAAGATGGTAAGTTCATAGTTTCATTTCACTGTCAAATTCTAGTTTGACTATTCTTATTTTAATTTTTATGCTGTAATCCTTTCTATTACAATTTAGTTTTTTCTATATATCAGGAGTCAGAATATTTGAAATATATGTCACCCATGTATTTATTTTTATTTTGAACAATAACATCCCTTTTCACTTTAAAAACATGTTCTTATTTTCTGCATGTGATCTTTCCTTTATTCTTGAAATTCACATAAGTGTATATTTAAAAAATTAGGTAATTAACTGAGAAACAGTATTTATCTTGAGTTAACTAAGAACATTTTTCTATTTTCACTATTAAATCATCTCCATTTACCCTTTCAACAAAAATTCTATTCTCTTGCTTTTTAGTGACATGTAAGTCATACATAACATTGGTTCACCTGCAGAGGGTGCTAAAAGCAGGCAAATGACTGTATAACATGGGAAACCAGCTAAATAAAAATATGTTAGTGTACATTTTTTTCTTTCAGAAATTCTCATAATACTTTTATATTCAAGATTGAGTATATTGAGTATATTGGAACAGGTTCATGGTTAAGCAGAGCAATTATATAAGTGTTCTGAGAAACTAGATATATATAACAAAATATGTAGTCTAGATTTCATATTATCTATTCAGTGATAAAATGTCAGGTGTTTCTGTGGCTATGGCTTAGACCGCAGAAATAACTAGGATCATTTGGAGGAAAAAGCAAAAACAAGTCATCTTTTTACCTTTATAAATCTTTTATTGTCATTTTAAATTGCTTAAGATTCTTTATAGGAAAAACATATGCGTCTGCATAAAATAATTAAAACTTTATCTTAAATAGTTCTGTCTAGATAATCTTAAATGTCATGTCCAGATACAAACAAGCCATGAAGTAAAACACTGAAAATTAATTATTTTTATAATATAATTGAAAAATAACTTTTTTACTGAAATAGATCTTTATTCCCTACACTATGTGTAAATAATGTTTTTTCCACACATAAATATTTGTAGAAAACCCTTAATATGATGGTAATGCTTTGATGAAAAAGTTGGAATGAAATTTATTCTCAAATAACATTTATTTTTTGTGAACATAGACAGCATTGTACCTGTAAACTCAAGATTTTATTATGGAAAGAATATATAGTATTAACATTCCACATAAATGCCAGTCAGAATTATCAAGGAGATAATTTTATTTATTTCTGACTGGGGGGTGAGGGAGGGAGTTTAATCCAGGGCTTATGTCTTATGTTTGTTGGGCAAATGGTTTATCATATCCCTTGGTTTTTGAGACAAAATCTTGCTGTGACATCCAGAATGCCTTGAACTTCCGATCCTCTGCCTCCACTTCCTAAGTGCTGGGATTATAGGCATGTATCATCACATTCAGCAAGGAGATATATTTAAATTTTAAATATTTATTTATTTATTTATTTATTGTTGGTCGTGGGGCTTGAACTCTGGGCCTGAGTGCTGTCTCTCCGCTCTTCAGCTCAAGGCGAGCGCTCTACCACTTGAGCTACAGTGCCACTTCCGTTGTTCTGGTTGTTTATTGGAGATAAATTTCACAGACTTTCCTGCCCGGGCTGGCTTTGAACCTTGATCCTCATATCTCAGCCTCCTGAGTAGCTAGGATTACAGGTGTGAGTCACCGGCGCCCGGCTTAAAAACAAATTTCATTTTAAAATCTGTACAAGGTAACTAGAGAAAATAGGTGTCATCCACACATTCATTTTTATTTTGAACAATAACATCCCTTTTGTCTCTCTTGGTCACACTTTAACTTTAAAAACATGTTTTTTTATTTCCTGCATGTTTATATTTCTTGCATGTGACTGTTTCTTGGTCAAATAAAATATACTCCTTGGGAAGATAATTCCAGAACATTTAAAATTTAGTTGCATGCAAATAGCACCAGATATGAGACTACTGGTCCTACTTTTAAATTTTCTCTATTTAATTTCCTGTTTTTTTTTTTTTTCTGATGTTAGAAAAACAAATTCATTTATGCCCTTAATTTCTTGCTTTCTTTCTTTCTTTTCTTTCTTTTTTTTTTTCTTTTCTTTTTTTGGTGCTGATAATGAAGCTTGACTTCAGAACCTGGAGCTCTCCTTTAGCTTTTCTACTTACAGCTTGCAGCCACACTTCTACTTCCAGCTCAGGCTGGCTTCAAACCATGATTCTCAGACTTCTCTGTCCTGAGCTGGGGTGCTCAGATACGCCACTTAAAGCAGTAATTTTGCTTCTGCTCTTTAACACATTAATTGTTTTCATTATTTTTGTTAACTTTGACCTAAAAGAACTTTCCTAAGCTGCCCTAAACAGAATATTGCCATGTTTTTGTTGGTGGTGTTGGTGATACTGGGGTTTGATGTGAAAGCATTGTGATTATTAGTGAAGTGTTCTACTACTTGAGCTATTTTTGCTTTAGTTAATTTTCAGGTAGAGTTTTGGCACTTTTGTCCAGGACTGGCTTCAAACCATGATCTTTCTACCTGTGCCTCTTGTATAGCTGAGTTTCCCCAGGCCTGGCTTGTTAGTTGAGATATAATCCTGATACCTTTTTGCTTCTAGCTAGAATTACAGGTGTGAACTTCTGAGCCTACTGAACTTTTAATAACTTCAATCACTCTTTAATATTAATTTGATAAACAAATTTCCTTAGGGTCTTTAGTAGAAGAAATTCACATTTTACTTGTCAGTATAATTTAATTGCTTAAAGTAATTTATTTTAGGTAACTATGAACATAATTAGTTTGAGTAACCTTATTGCCATCTACTACAAACCAAAAGGATTGGTATGGAAGACCCATTTTAATTTTTGTTTTTATAATTCAATAAAGTATTTAGTGTGGACTGGAATAGATTAATAAGATAACTAGTTTTTGCCTTCCTGTAGTTCATAGCCTAAAGGAAGCTTCTGATAATATAAATTTGCAATAGTCTTCCCATATACTGTATTTACTCTGTGGCAGCCATTGGTTTACATGTAGAATCAGACTGCCTGAGTTTAAATGTCACTTCTCTCTTGAGTAATTACTCAGTCTGCATGTGTTCCACATTTGTCATTTGCAAATTGAGGCTAATAGTAGGCTCTTCTTTTGGAGTTAGGACCGTTAAGTTTTTTGTTTAGGTCAAGGAGGAAACTAGGAAATGTCCAGACGTAGAATCATTTTGTGCGTCTAGTGGAATAATCCCACTGTGCTCAGCTCTTTAAAAACTTGTATGTAGGGCTGGGAAGGTGGCTCAGTGGTAGAGTGCTTGCCTTGCATGCATGAGGCCCTCAGTTCAATTCCTCAGCACCACATAAGCATAAAAAGCCGGAAGTGGCCCTGTGGCTCAAGTGGTAGAGCTCTAGCTTGAGCTGAAAAGCTGAGGGACAGCACCCAGGCCCAGAGTTCAGGACACACAACCAACAATAAAAAACAAAAAACAAACAAACAAAAAAAAACCCTTTAGGTAGCATAAAAAGTGAATTTACCTGAAGGGAATCTATGGTGGGAAGAATAATGCTCCCTGTGAACTACTCAAATCCTAAAACTATTACATAGCAAAAGGGACTTTGTAAGTGTGATTAAATTCAAGTGCTGGATAGGGAGATTCTTTTGTTAGGACAGAATAATTGAATCTTATAAGGAAGAGAGGAGAAGATATCAGAAGCACGATAAGAATGGTTAATTGCTGGTTTTGAACCAAAGAAGGTGGGCAGCCTTTGTCAGTTGGAAAAGGCAGAAAGGACAGTCATGTTACAGTTTTTACCTTCATGTTTGTAAAACATGAAGAATGTTTGTTAATTTAAATTTGGCCCATATTGGGATAAGCCTAATTATATTGCAGATATATATATATAGATATCTATATCTATATATAGATATCTATCTATCTATCTATATATATATGTTTTGTTGTTGTTGTTGTTGGTCATGGGGCCTGTACTTTGGGCCTGGGCGCTGTCCCTCAGCTCTTCAGCTCAAGGCTAGCACTCTATCACTTGAACCACAGCGCCACTTCTGGCTTTTTTTTCCTGCTTATGTGGTGCTGAGGAATCGAACCCAGGGCCTCATGCATGCAAGGCAAGCACTCTACCACTGAGCCACCTTCCCAGCCCCTATTGCAGATATTTTAAAATGAATAATCTTTGTCTCTTTCAGAAATAGTTGTTGCTGAAAGTGTGGTTGTTATAAAGAAATTACTGCAAATGCAACCTGCACAACATGGTGAGATAATTAAACATATGGCTAAACTCTTGGACAGTATCACTGTGAGTATCCATGAGGAGATATTGTTGTGTCCCACCAAATTTTGCTTAGTAAATTATAGTTTTCTTAAAGTAAATGTTTATCCTAAAGTCTATCTGGATTCAAATATTGGTCCTAATATTTCCTACTGTTAAAGAGGGAATTACAGATCTAAAAGAGAAAAGGAGAGAATGAAGTTTGTAGTGTTGAGTTAGAATTAGCACTTTGTGTTTCATGGTTTTTATATATGAATAGATGTTATGTGAATGCATATATGTGCACATCTATATTTGAATAAATGAATATAGCAACAGGTTATCACTTTGCTGTTCTTTGGAAGGTCCTAGAAACAATATCCTTATTACTAATGAATATACTTGGTGTTCAGAAAATAATTTCATGTCATAAAATTGGGTTTCAGTATATTTAAGTTTGTAAAATCATCACCATGATGTAATTGTAAAACATCCCCATCCTTTAAAAAAAAAATCCAATACTTAATCCCCCTCCCCCATTCTCTTTTTACTCTATCCCTTGGAAACTACAAAACTACTTTCTATTTTTTTTCAAATTTTCCAGTTATGGGTATTTTATATGTCTAGAGGTATATGATATGTGGCTTTTTAGGTGTTTTTTCAGGGGAGGGGTGCTTTTAGTTTTGGCTTCTTTTAGTTAACATGCTTTTAAAGTTCATGCGCACTACTTGTTTCTTTTTTTTTTTTTTGGTAGATGTTGGTTTTTAAATACCATATTCTACTTAAATGGATTGGAATGTCTTAGGGTAATGGTTGATTTCAAAGATAGAGTATAGAAGAATAGGGTGAACCTGGAACATTGTGTAGGACATATAAAGCAAGAAAGTGCTCACAGAATGGTAGACCCTGCATCAAAAGACACAAATCTAGGTTAAAAGAACATGAGGCTCTAAAATAAATTATATTAAAATGATTATAACCTATAGCATAGTATATAGACTGAGTCCCCACTGTAATGTTTGATGGATGGACCAATGGATGGATAGATAGCAGAGGAAGGGAATCTCTCCCTTACAATTTGAAAACATCTATGAAGGGTAGAGGAATGATGGAGTTAAAATACCAACATCTGCCAGTCATCAAAATGATAATGGATTCAAGCAAGAATTATTGGCTGATGCTAAATATAAATTGGCAAGAATTTAAGTGGTTAAAGGATATTGCACAGTCACAGAATATATCTTTATATTTCTTAGTTTCAGAGACTAAAATAGTGACTTCCAATGAAGAAATCTGTTAGATATTACTTTAAGCAAATGAACCTGGTTAATGCTTACTAGTTTTAGAATCATGTAGATGATATGATATACTAAAAAGTGAATGACTTGAATAAAATCATTGAGAATTATGAGACAAATCTGTATTAAGGGTGTAGGGTATTCCACAATGTAACTCATTGTACTCTTAAAAAACAAATGTCATGTTGTAAATTGCAGGACATGACAATACAACCTATAATTCGAATTTTTTTAAATAAAGGATCATAGGGATAGTTGTCAGAATTTCAAAATTTACTATTTTCAAGATTTTTCTACTGTAGCTTGCTCATTCTTCCTTCCTTCCTTCCTTCCTTCCTTCCTTCCTTCCTTCCTTCCTCCCTTCCTTCCTTCCTTCCTTCCTTCTTTCCTTCCTTCCTTCCTTCCTTCCTTCCTCCCTCCCTCCCTCCCTCCTTCCCTCCCTCTCTCTCCCTTTCTCTTTCTCTCTCTTTCTCTTTTTCTCTTTCTTTCTCTTTCTCTCTCTCTTTTCTTTCTTTCTGCCTGTCTGCCTGCCTGCCTGCCTGCCTGCCTGCTTGTCTGTCTGTCTGCCTGCCTGTCTTTTTGTCTGTCTGTCTGTCTGTCTGCCTGTCTTTCTGTCTTCCTTTCTTCCTTTCTGCACTGATTGACACATTTAGGGCATAAGGGAATGCCGGCAACTTTTATCAGTTGAGAAAGCAAAATGTAGCTACCCCAATATGTAGCTAGTATAAGTGCAGGAGAATGGCCTCATAAAAATCTGAGTGTTATGTCACATTGGTGCTTGTAGTGTTGTGGAACATTTGCTGGAACAAGTGCTGCCTACATGTTTGGTATAGCCTGTTTCATGCTTTTCTTTAAAACTGAAGTTTTTTTGAAGGTACATAGAAGTTTTTTATTTATCTTATTTATTCACTTATTCAGTTTGATTTTTGACTTACCTACATTCAGCTGTTTACCTTAAAGTTGCTATTTCCTTCTTACTAAATCCAATGGATAATTTTCTGATCGGATCTTCCTTGTTTCATCCCTGTCTTATCAGGCATCAAATTTCAGCAGAATATTGAGACACGATTTAACTACACCCTACATAAGTGATATAGCTCCTAGTAAGACTCACTTCTCTAAAGCTAATGACTGAACACAAAGAATTCTAAATAGAGATACATGTGCAAAGTAGTATATGTATTTATTTATACACATAATTAAATCTCAACAATAAGCAGTTTTATGAAAGTGCTAAATTAGAACTCTTGAAAAGTACTGTAATGAAGATTTAATAATCTAAATATATAAGAACACAGAACACAGAAGAGGAAGTGATGGAGAATAAAAGGATATTGAAGTTCTCATATGAGAGGAAGAGAGAAGAGGGGATAAAATTAGAATAGTCAATAGATGAAAATAGATTAGCTCCTATGAAAACTAGGTTTTGATAGAGGAGGTAATGACTTTTCTTTTTTTAAATTCATTTTTTTTTAAACCAGTAATGGCAGAGAAGTATGTGATAATAAGAAAATAGAAATGTGGAGTGCTATACCACTAAAATTTTTGCATAAAATTAGTTAAAATTTATGTTAGTAAACTTGTTCTGGTTCTGTTAGCAAAGAAGCCAATTATAATTGTTAAGGGTTTAGATTTAGCTGCTTGTAAGTAAAATTTGTGGCAGTGTTTGAGGGCTAAGCCAGACAAATCTTGGAATTTCTTAAAAGAAAAAATTGCGCTATTTGAAAATATCCTTACCTTAAGTTAAAGTGTAGCTACTTAAGTGCTTAACCCAATCCACTACTTTTTTATATTGCTTATATATGTAGCGAAGGGTGTGTGTGTGTAAATAACAATATGATGGAAATCAGAGGCTGTTAGAGTAAGAATGGAAAAATAAATAATAAACATACAAACACAACAAAGATGAGAAAAAGGAAAGAAATATATCCTGCTCTGAATATGAATGGACTATTTTCTCATTAAAGGATCTATTTTCAAATTGGAATGAAAACAAAAAGTAGCTATAGGTCATTTATAATCCAAACACCTTAATCAAGAGAAAGTTGAAAATAAAAAGGAAAAGAAAGAAATATTGCATAAATTTTAGAAAGAAAGTAGCAGAATTAAATGCATTTAAGTAGATAAAAAGTAATATTGTAAGTGAAATATCTCCAATTTACAAAGAAACTAAGAAGTCCAAATCTATTTGCACAAAAAATAAGGCAATTGAATAAATATGTAGAGGAAAGGGACCTATTCAGAATGTAAGGTGATATTGATTAAATATAGTTATTGCAGAAGACTTTGATATGCTGTTCTAATATTAGGTATTCATAGTAGATAAATAAAGACAAGCACACAGAGAAAGCAATGGAAAAACCTTGATTTAGTAAATGCGGCTAAAACTTGCTTTAATAGATAAGAGCCACTTTTAAGAGCATATTCATTAAATGCTTTCAGAAAATGAAATAGAAAATATTTTATTCTAAATTATGGCTACATGGCTAAAGTTATAAATACTTTTATTTTTAAAGTAAGGAGATCAAAATACAGATTTGTCCTTAACAAATCTGAAGGAATGATGACTCAACATAGAAACATTAAAAAAAGGAAAGAAACTTGATTTTGTAAGATAGAATTAATAAATACATGTTATTTGGAAAGACAATAAAATATAATAACCTTCCTGATAATAAGGCAGAGGGGAAGCAAAAGTAAACAAATCTGGAATCTAATAATAGGAAAGATTAAAAAGTAAATATAAGGAAGCTGCTACATGTGATTCTATTGTTCACATCTAAACTTTAATAAAATAAAAGGTTGATGATGAGTTGTTACTAATCATTATTCATACTTAGGAAGCTGAGGTGCCTGAAGCAGGAAGCAAGACAATTTGTTGTGCAGAATTGTTAAGACTGATCAAGAATTAAATGCACAAATTATTACCCCCTAAAATGGTGAGGATGTAGCAGATAAAAGCCTGACTGTCAGGAATAGTAGTAATTAAACCCCCAGAATTTTGCTGTCCCAGTCACGAGAGCTGGTCATAAAAACCAATATTTTCATTTTAGAAAACAGAGCTTTATCAATCTAACCAAACACATGATTACTATTTTAAGAATGAGCAAATGACTTCTAAATTTGTGAGATATATAATGGGAACCTCTTTCCGGTTTCACCTTTAAACCCAGAAGTAATGTCTTAAACTGCAGCAGTTTTAGGAGAATACAATATGACCATTGTTGAAGGAAAAGGCCATTATTTAACATGTTTTCTTTTAGTTCAGTTCCTAGGATATTTTGTCAGGGTGAAAGCATATACCTCCTTGGAAGAGGGAGAACTAAGTGATAGACTTCTTCCCACCATGGCCACCACACCCATGTATAGAAAGAGATCAGGATGAGTGAGAAAATCTCACTCATCAGGTATGGGTGTGAAAAACAGGCAAGAGGGTGCTCTACAGTGCCCTGAAAAATCTGGCCCCTGGGGAGACAACAGGAGACTGGGAGATACTGAGTAGTGTAGCAGAATGGGACTCCAAAACCATCCTGGTGTTTAGTAAATGAGCCTATTGAGGTAATATTATTTATATCCATGACATAAATGATCAATGTGGGGTCAGAGCCAGTCTTCTTGACCTGCTGGTTGGCTTTCCAGTTTAGTCACTTGGTCTCTGGCCAGTGGTCTGATAGATATTCCAGATTGAATTTCTGTTGTCGTATAGTCCTAGCTCTACCATTGATAAGCGGAGGTGAGATCAGTGTCGTAACCTCTTGGTTATTCTAGTATCCTTCTATGCCACACAGTGTTGATGGAGGCTTTTGTAATGATGGAGAAATTTTACATGATTCTTAAAAACAGTGCCTGGCAAATTAGACAGGGTCAATTGATATTACCTATGTAATATTTTAGAACAGAATACATAGATTTTTATCATATTCAAGACTTTGATTCCATTACTTTGATTCCATTCTTTGATTCCATTAGTAGGAACCATGGAAAATATGGTAATTCCTCCAAGTTAGATAGATTTTATCTGCAGTAGTTAACTTATATGTTATGATTATAACTGTGATATCTTTTGGTGTGTCCTTCATTAATAGTAAATAATGCTTTTATAATAAAGTTTTTTAAGAATAAAATTCATACAACCCAAGGATTGCTTGACAGATTTCACATAATGTTTAATGGGACAGGAGATTCCATATTATGAAAGAAAATTGGGAGATGTTATTGTGTAAGTCTACTCTGTAATATTAAAGTGGCACTTTACTTCTGACCCAGATGTTTCGGTGAACACCTGCCATATCACACATTCCCTCTCCATGCTGTGAAACCCTAATACAATTTAGACTTAATTTTTAATGCATATTGAGTCCAGACACACATGGGATCTTAGATCTGTTTTGCTATTGGTTTGCAATTTATTTACTGATTTTGCCTTTGACAGATTTAAATAAATAAAATTGATGTTTGTGGCGTATTTACTTCAGACCATATAAGGGGCTGTTGTTGAAACACAATAGTTTTTAGATTGAGCTTCTTACAGAATGATCTGTAAAATTGCTCTAGATGCCTTTCTGTAGTGGCTGTGGTGGGCTACGCATCATTATTTGTTTTTGCAGGCAAGTTAATGGGTTAAAATAGCAGTGGAAACTGCCTTGTAGTAGGTTTGAAAGGTGCACTTAACCACTTGCTCCAGGCATTTAGAATAAAGAATCAGGCAAAGTCATTTATAATCTAGTTTGTCTTTGAGAATATTGAAAAGAAGAGGTTCATAATAAAAGTATTATATGTATGACTGTGTGTATGTGTACATGTATGCATGCCCACAGATACATGTGTCTATACATGTATATTATTAGTTTGCTTTTTAGGACAGTGCTTCTATTTATTCTGTAGTTGAAAAAAACCCATGGAAACTAACAGTGGCTAATTTTATCATTTGCAAGGTGTTCACTTTGAATCTTTTAAAGTACCAATTGTATCTTCATAGTATTAGTGGTATACACATGAGAATCCTGTTAAGTTAATTGAGAGAGGGAGAACAGGTATTAGAAAAATCTTAGAATTCTAACTCTAGAAAAAGAAGGAAACATTGGTTCTATCAGTATCCTAATATTTTTAAAAAATGAAATGCTGTTACCAAGAATTTGATGCAGTATTTATATTTCTGGTTGTGGAGAATTTTTCTATTTTTTTTTAAAAAATGAATGTTTACTTGGGAATTTATTAACTATAAAATTCCAAATATTATCATCCCTACACTGTCACTACCTTGATATTTTCATTGTGATCACTGATTTACTGCTTTTAATTTTTCCAAGCAGATGTATTTTAAATGTGTGCATTCTCAATGCTTGGAGTATTCAAATATTGTTATCTTGCTCTTAATATATTCAAATGTGAAAAAAAATTTAAAACCCTTATTTCACTTTGGGATTAGCTATTTTGCAAACGAGAATAGAAAGTGCTACCAGAAGAAAATTACTTAAATGGGATAACAGATTGTTATATGTTGTAGAATTTTAATTTTTATACCAGTAATATGTAATAAAATGTTAAAGAAAAATAAATCTAGCATAACTGAAATATGAAGTTGCTCATATATTCTTATTTAGAAGTACCTTTCATTGTGGCAGGCAACTTGAATTGCTCCATACTGGAAAATTTAATGTACCACTCAATTACTATTCTTTAGCCCAATTTAAAATAATAGATTGGGAGTAAGGTCTTAATGCAGTGTAACCTTTGGAACATTAGAAATAACCTCTTTCCTTCCAGAAATCAGTAATACTGTAAGGGTATTAGTTTTATCATCCTGCTTGAATAGATTTGTAATAACCACTTAGACTTTTTTTTCTATTACATAAGTAAACTAGGTTTTTCTGTCTTTCTAAACTTTTTATGAGTATTTATTTAAAGATGATGCTGTTTTAATTTTGGGAAATACATACTTTGTAAATACTAAAGAGATTTCGATGATTTCATTCTGATTTGGGGAAAAGAGTCAACATAGGTGGTTTATATTTTTATTGTTATAGGATGGGTATTCAAGACAATTTGAAATTGTAAATATTATGATAAAAGTTTAACCATGGAGAGCTGGGCGCCGGTGGCTCATGCCTGTAATCCTAGCTACTCAGGAGGCTGAGATCAGAGGATCACGGTTCAAAGCCAGCCCGGGCAGGAAAGTCCGTGAAACTCTTATATCCAATAAACCACCAGCAAACCAGAAGTGGTGCTGTGGCTCAAGCGGTAGAGCGCTCGCCTTGAGCTGAAGAGCGCAGGGACAGCGCCCAAGCCCAGAGTTCAAGCCCCATGACTGAAAAAAAAAAAAAAAAATTTAACAATGGAAAGGTTTGTATTCTCACTTTTTTCTTTTGTAGTCATAATATGGATACCTTTGCAAGTATACGAAACCATTATAAGTTTGAGAAATTGTAAAAACATTTTATAAACAGTGTTGTCTCCTGATGCTATCACTTAATGATAGCCATCAGCTTTTTCATTTATTATACAACAAATTTTCTATGCTAGGTGAAAATGTTCACAAAAACTAATTTACATACCCTCTCAAATTCCTTTTGGAATAGGGAGGATACAAATAAGCAAATAGTAATAAAAGTAATTTACATACTCTGAAATGTTGGTCTTAATGGTTCTGATGGAAGGTTTCCAATTTGTAGCAAAGCAGTGATTGTTAAGAAAACAAATTATATTGAAATGTACTTTATTTTATAAATATAATGCCAAAGTGCAGTGTTGGACAAATCTATCCTTATTTTTTTTGTTGACTGAATAATACATAGGGATTCATAATTTTTTAAGCAGATCTTGATCTATGAGTTTGATACATTTCTAGTGGACATACTAGAAGATAGTAGTGCTTTTGTAGTCATAGTCTTTAATGACTCAGTTTCTTTTTCTGTATTTTCCATAGGTTTTTAGAATGTGGTTTGTGAACCACTTGTCCTAGGAACCATCAGTGATACTTTTTAATACATGCATTCCTGGGGCTCAACACAGAAAATTAGCCCAGAAAAAAAATTTTTAATGGCTTTGTCGCTTGAGAACAGGAGTCAGCAAACCTTTTCTATAATTTGCTAGGTAATCAGTATTTTTGGCTTAGGGCTCTGTAGTTTTCATTGCAACAACTCACTTTAGCATCATAGCACGAATGCAGAAATGGATAAGACAAAAGGAAGCTGGTAAACCAGATTTGGCCCATTACCTATCTTTTTATTTTTTGATAACTCAAGAAAAATCCATGAATGTGAGAGCACTCCCTGGATGTACATATGACAAATTAATAGATGTAAAATTTTGATAATACTAAGCCATTTTTTGTTAATGTTAGGGTATGACTATCCATTTCTAATTATGTAATCCATTTCTAATAGGTTCCTGTGGCTAGAGCAAGTATTCTTTGGCTGATTGGAGAAAACTGTGAACGAGTTCCTAAAATTGCCCCTGATGTTTTGAGGAAGATGGCTAAAAGTTTCACTAGTGAAGATGATCTGGTAAAGCTGCAGATTTTAAATCTGGGAGCAAAGCTATATTTAACCAACTCCAAACAGGTAAAAGGCTATATCTTTGTCAACTTAGCTAATACATACTTTCCTTTTTACTTTGATCAAATCCCTGAGATATGTTCATGCATTATCCTCTGCAATTAACAGTTACCAGACCTGGTTTCTTTTAGGTGCTACATTAGATGGTATCATAACAGAGAGATAACTTACTGGTCTAGAATGGGGGAAAATACTGCAAAAATGAAATGTATTGAGATTTAATAGAATCCCAGAAGTCTGGAGGGCTAAATCTAAAGAAGAGACATCAGAGACAATTTCATAAAAGATAAAGTATTTCACTAAAGACTCATAAGGAATGTTTCTGTATAGCATAAGGAAAGAAGAGAATAAAGGATCAGAGCCACGAAACAGCTTGGGAGATTTTAGGAAACTTAACAGATGAGTCCAGAAAGCCAAATGCCATCTGTGTTTGATGTTACTATGTTAACACCTAGTTACCTAGGTGTTAGTTATCTAATTAGTTACCTAATTCTAGTATTAAGAAGTGAGCCATTTGACATTTTATGTTGTGAGAGTGAACCTCTTATGAACAGACTTAGTACCATTCTAAGATTAGACCCCTGAGGGATAGTTTGCCACTTCTAATATCTGAAGACACAAGCAGAAGGCACCATTTGCAATCTAGAATGCTGGCTTTGACCAGACAGCAAATCTACAAGTGTTTCATCTTGGATTTCCCCACCTCTATAACTGAGATAAAAATTCCTGCTGATAGGTTTCCCAGTATAAAGTGGAGGACTTAGAGTGGTTTATATGCTCTGTTAAATTGTAGAATTTTGACCTGTAGGTAGAAGGAAAATTTTAAAACTTTTCTATAGTAAGATAATTTTCAGCTTAGAACATTTATATAAATCTGTTAAGCAAGTAGAGGTAAGAGGAGTCATTTTCCCTTGTATGTGTTAAAGAGGGACTTTTTCACTCTTTTTCTAGCATTTCAATTGTTTTTCATGAATAGAAGACTTAGTTTGTAAGACTGGAAGATATTTCTCTGAAATAGATTTTATCTTTTGCATATTGTCATTTTTTAAAAAAAATTATTTTTAAGTTTCATAAAGATTTTTTCTTTCAAAGAATTAGTTAATTAGCTCCCTAATTGTAGCTGAGATGACAGGGTACACATCACCATAGACAGGTAATATACAGTTGAGTTGGGGTCTTACACACTTGGTCTAGGCTGACCTCAAAGCATGATTTTACTGAGCTCTGCCTATCAAATAACTAGAATCATAGGTAGATTTCTTCATATATTGAGACTTAAAAACTGAAAAAAAGGAGATAAAAAACCATAGAAAAAGGCAATAAAACAAAGTTGGTTCTTCAAAAAATTAACAAAATCCACAGACCCTTAGCAAATCTATCAGAAAAAGAAGAGAACATACCCAAATAAACAAACTCAGAGATGAGAATGGAAACATCACCACAGAAACAACCAAGATTCAGAACATTATAAGGGAATACTTCTCTGGAAGAAAGATGAATTTCTAGCAAATACTGACATGCCCAAACTAAACGAAGATGATTTAAATCAACAGACCCATATCAAGCATCAAAGTAGAAACAGCAATGAGCCCTCCCACCCAAGAAAGCCCAGGACCGGATGGATTTACAGCTGAATTCTACAAGGACTTCAAAGCAGAACTCACACTAATACTCTTCCAACTCTTCAATGAAATTGAAAGTGAAAGTTCACTACCAAACTCTTTATTTAAAGCCATCATAACCCTCATCCCAAAACTAGACAGGGACATATCAAAGAAAGAGAACTATAGAACCATTTCCCTGATGAACATTGATTTCCAAACTTCTCAACAAAATTTTGGCCAACTTGACTTCAAAACTTCAAAAACTCATAAAAAAAATCATATGCCATAATCAAACAAGATTTATTTCAGGGATATAATTCATCACATTGACAAGAGCAAGAATAAGAACCACATGATTATCTCAATAGATACATAAAAAGCAAGTTCAGGGGCTGGGAATGTGGCCTAGTGGTAGAGTGCTTGCCTAGTATGCATGAAGCCCTGGGTTCAATTCCTCAGTGCCACATAAACAAAAAGCTGGAAGTGGAGCTGTGGCTCAGGGACAGTTCCCAGACCCTGAGTTCCAGCCCTAGGACTGGCAAAATAAAGCAAAAACAAACAATCAATCAAAAAGCATTTGACAAGATCCAACGTCCCTTTATGATAAAAGCTATGGAAAAACTAGGAATCCATGGAACATTCCTCAATATAATAAAGGCTGTGTATGAGAAACCTACAGTCAGCATTATACTTAATGGCGAAAAGCTAAAGCCATTTCCTCTAAATTCAGGAATGAGACAAGGATGTCCACTTTCTCCACTTCTCTTCAATTTAATATTAGAATGCCTAGCTAGAGCAATAAGACAAGATGCGAATATAAAGGGGATCCAAATAGGGAAAGATGAAGTAAAACTCTCCCTCTCTGCAGATGACATGATCTTGTATTTAAAGAACTCCATGAACTCCACTCCCAAGTTACTCAAGCTGATCTGAAACTTTGGCAAAGTAACAGGGTATAAAATTAACCCTCAAAACAATGGCTTTTCTGAATGCCAATAAGGAAAAGAGCGCAGCTGAAATCAGGAAAGCAACTCCTTTTGTAATAGCCCCACAAAAAATAAAATCCTAGGAGTTAACTAAAGAAGTGAAGGACCTCTATCATGAAAACTTTAAAACCCTGAGAAGGGAAATTAAAGCAGAACTAAGGAAGTGGAAAAACCTTCCATGCTCCTAGATTTGGAGGATTACATTAACATTGTGAAAAATGGCAATACTGCCAAAGGCTATCTACATATTCAATGCAATACCTATCAATATTCCAACCTCATTCTTCAATGAAATAGAAGAAGCAACCTAAGAATTCATATGGAACAATAAAAGACCCCGAATAGCAAAAACAGTCCTTAGCAGAAAGAACAGTGCTGGAAGAATATTAATACCAAATCCCAAACTCTACTACAAAGCCATAGTAATCAAAGTAGCTTGGTACTGGCACAGAACAGACCTCACGACCAATGGAATAGAACTGAAAACCCAGAAATGAACCCACAGACCTATAGCCACCTAATCTTCGATAAGTGAGCCAAAAAAATAGAATGGAAGAATGACAGCCTCTTCAGTAAATGTGCTGGCAAAATTGGTTAAATACCTGTAGAAAACTAAAGCTAGATCCTTATATATCACCCTGCAACAGAATCAATTCCAGGTGGATCAAAGACCTCGAAGTCAAAGCAGACACCCTGGAAACATTACAGGAATAGGAGAAACTCTAGGGCTCATTGGCACAGGCCGAAATTTTCTTAATAAAGACCAGAAACAACAAATCAAAGAAATGTTAGATAAATGGGATTGCATGAAATTGCAGAGCTTCTGCATGGCAAAGGACATAGCTAGCAAGATCAATAGAAAGTCCATGGATTAGCATTTGATCTTCACTAGCTATACAACGGACAAGGGTCTCATATCTAAAATATACTTAGCACTCAAAAAATTAAATCTCCCAACAACAAATCCTCAAACAACCACTCGATTGATAAGTGGCCTAAAGAGGTAAAGAGAGACTTCTCTGAAGAAAAAATAAGAATGGCCTATAGACATATGAAGAAATACTCAACTTCTCTAGCCATGAAAGAAATGCAATTCATAACAACATTGAGATTCTCCTCACTCCTATTAGAATGGCTATAATTAAGAAATCTAATAACAACAGATGCTGGAGGGCATGTGGCCAGAAGGGAATCCTACTGCATTGTTGGTGGGAGTGTAAACTTGTTCAACCACTCTGAAAAGCAGTATTGAGGTTCCTCAAAAGACAACACAGAGTTCCCCTATGACCCAGTAATCCCACTTCTGGGCATTTACCCAAACGATCACAAACAAGGCCATACTAAAGCTACCAGAACAACTATGTTTACTGCAGCATTATTGACCATAGCTAAGATATGGAACCAACCCAGATGCTCCTGAGTAGATGAGTGGATCAAGAAAACGTGGTATATATATAGAATGGAATTCTATGCCTCCATCAGAAAAAATAACATTGCCCCATTTGTTAGGAAATGGAAAGACTTGGGAAAAGTCATATCAAATGAAGTAAGACAGGCCCAAAGAAACATAGGCCCCATGGTTTCCCTTATTTGCAATAAATAGTGTATGTCTAGGACAAGTAGAAAAGGTCAAAAGCTATGTCCATATGACCGTTTAAGAGGATGGTAAGTGAAATAAGCACCAAAACAGGGATACAAGAGATTTATCTTCCTTGCTGTTGATTTTAATGTATTTATAATGTACTATGTGATTTTTTTGTTTGTTTTGTATGTTCTTCCCCCATGGTATAACCCCTGTTGTCTCTGTATTTGATTCCGGTGCCCTGCATCTTGTATTATATACATTTTTCTAATTTGAGGAGGGGAAGGGAAATAAATGGTGAAACAGGGATACAGGTTGACCCATTGTAACAATTAGATGTGCAAGACACTATGTTGAAAATGAACTTTACAACTTCAAGGCAGGGAGGAGTTAGGGAGGTGTGGAGAATAGGGATAGTAGGGGAAAAACAAAGGAGGGGGGTAACAATAATTGATAGAAAATGTACTCATGTAACTGTAACTCCTCTGTACAGTATCTTTACAATAAAACGTACATATTAAAAAAAGAGATCAGTGTTTGCTGTTGAGTTTCATACTTATTAATTAATTGAAACATTAGCCTGAAACTCCCTTTGTTCACTAAATCTCTATGGTTTGTTAAAAGTCAATATAAACTTAGAATATTATGATTTTATGTCTGGTTTGGCTAAATAAGGTGTACATCTTGCTTATATATTACTGTAAAAGTAATACAAAAATAATATGTCAGTCTATACCACATCAAATAAAGGTCCTGTCTTTGATCCTTTTCTTTGTTGAAACCCTTTTTTCTTGGGAGGCAGTACTGGGGTTTGAATTCAGGCCCCTGTATTTG